GCTCTCTCTCTCTCTCTCTCTCTCTCTCTCTCTCTCTGTGTCTCTCTCTCGTTCTCTCTCTTTTTCTCTCTCTTTTCTCTCTCTCTGTCTCTCTCTCGTTCTCTCTCTTTTTCTCTCTCTTTTCTCTCTCTCTCTCTCTCTCTCTCTTCTCTCTCTCTCTCTTCTCTCTCTCTCCCTCTCTCTCTCTCTGTGTTTCTCTCTCTCTGTTTCTCTCTCTACCTCTCTTTCTCTAGAGGTTATAATGCCTTGAAGTTTCAAGTTTTAGCAGCGAGTTCAAATCTCATCATGGATATTGTTATAATTTGTTTGATTCAATTTAGAAGTTAAAAGTGTCCAATAATAAAAAAAAAAAAGATTTTCTTCATCAAAAGGCATTTTAGCATGAGTCTTATTTGTCAAGATCTTAACGTCCCTGTCTACCTATATTTACCGGTCTATTTATTTTTATCGATCAATTGTAACTTGTCGTCTCTTACATGATTTCCCGGTGTTAGATACGGATATTACTCATTAGAAAAGGAAAATCAAACACTAACAAAATCTCCCTTTCCTTTGCCTCCCCTAGGCGGCGGTGTCTCTCCGAAGCCTTCACAAGAAAAATATTTATCATCAGAACTTGAGGCCAGAGAACATCCTCCTCAATCCCCGTGACGTCGCCTTCATCTCTGACTTTGGCGCTGCGTGTCTACTCTCTGAGGGATGTGACAAGGTGGACACGTGGACAGCTGCACCTGGTTTCCGGGGACCCGAGGCGGACAAGGAGGATGGTCAGCTCTGTCCATTCCAACTGGACACCTACAGCCTGGCTGTCAGCATGTGGCAGGTACTGTCTGGTCTGTGTCCAGTCAAGAACAAGCCTTTGGATCACCTAGACAACATTCCCCCACAGTACGCTGCCTTGTTGAGGAACCTTCTTCTTCCGGACCCCGACATGAGATGGACCCTGGACAAGTTCCTCACTGAGGCCCTGGAGCTGCACCCGGACCTGTCCTGTTTTCTCTAAGACGTTTGGTTCCCGGCTGTGGCGTTCTAAAGATAGTTAGAAGGCAGTCTTAATCTTCGCACGTCTTGACTTCTCACTGTTAAGTTCTAGTTTGAAGCTTTATACAACGCCTTTGATAAACTGAAGACAATGTCGTAATACTGTTCTGAATTATAGCAGGCCCAAGAGAGAGAGAGAGAGAGAGAGAGAGAGAGAGAGAGAGAGAGAGAGAGAGAACACAAATATAATAAAAAGTTGTAGTTAGTTAGTCTTTATTTATTTAGGACTGTGTTTGTGATCTTGATGTGATGTATATGTGCCCAATAAATTTTAAAAAACTAAAAAACTTCATTTTCAGATTGACTTAATTTTTCCCTTCCTTGTCTGAGAATCAAATTGATTTCCCCCCTTTTTCAAGCTTTTAAAACTGTTTATCTATCTATCTATCTATCTATCTATCTATCTATCTATCTATCTATCTATCTATTTTTAGCTTTTTTTTTCAAGATGGCTGGTTTGTTTATCTCTCCTTTTGGTATTTTTTACAAGGACGAGCATTTCTTGTACAGAGAATGAAAGATGAAATGATTAGGTATAGCGTATTATTGTGTTATCTCATCATCTCTCTTCATCTGGAAAATAAGAATCTATCAAAAGATTTACCACTCTTTTGACACCCTTGTTGGTTGTGGTGTATGTCAAAATTTAACTTTCAACGGTACGAAAAATCTTATATAAGTTATTCCACCAACTAACTAAAGATTTCCTTGTCGAGTAAATATGAAATGGAGAGATCTAGAAACACAAAATAATCAGGTGATAATATCATTCTTTATGGGTTAAAGGCCAAGCCATTAGGAAACAGAACAAATTTACAATACACTACAAAAAACCTGACTGTCCTCGAAATTGACTTCAAAAGCAGTTTAAGTTTATTCACAACTTTTGATATACACACACACAAACACACACACACACACACACACACACACACACACACACACACACACTCACAATCACACACACACACACATACACAAACACACTTACACTCTCTCTCTCTCTCCGACTCTCTCTTTCTCTCTCTCTCTCTCTCTCTCTCTCTCTCTCTCTCTCTCTCTCTCTCTCACACACACACACACACACATACACACCTTGAATTAGCCACTCAAATCTACCACGTATGATAAAAACAACAGCAGTAGTAACAACAACAACAACAACAACAACCCCCAAAACAGCAACAGTAACAACAGCAATAATTATTGCCTTACAAAAAATATGACTGCCTTGGAAATGGACTGCACCAGTAGCTTAAGTAATTCACCTTTTGACACACATACACAATATATATAATTACATATATTTTTTTTTTATATCGTGGTTTTATGCACCCCTTATAATCTAACAAAATTTGATCATTTTTTGCATAATTTCTGATTATTTTCCTTTAACTTACTTTGTTAAAATTAACTGATTCGTATAATTTTACATTTTTTTGGGCTCAGTTTGCATAATTTCAGAATTTTTCTTGCTTAAAACGACGGGGACAGATATATATATAAAGAGAGACAGAAAGAGATAGTGAGAGGGAGAAAAGAATCACATCTGAGATTAGCTATTCAAATCTACCACGGAATGGCCTTATAAGCAACAGAAACAACAACAACAACAATAACAGCAGCAACAACAACAACAACAACAACAACAACAACAACAACAACGACGACAACTACAACAACAGCAACAACAACGACAACAGGGTCAAGGGCCCTTTTACCACGGGCTTCTCGCTGCTTCTGTGAGGACCTTTGTCTGTGGCAGGGACAGGAAGCCACTCCAGTCAAATCTTTGTCAGTGGCAGGGACAGGAAGCCACTCCAGTCAGACCTTTGTCTGTGGCAGGGACAGGAAGCCATTCCAGTCAGACCTTTGTCAGTGGTAGGGACAGGAAGCCATTCCAGTCAGACCTTTGTGGGGGAACATTGGTCTGTAGGAAAAACAGTCAAACCTGTGTAAGACGGCCATCCATTGTCAAGAGGAAACCGTATAAGACAGGTGGCCTTCTTAGACTGGACTGATCAAGAGGAAGAAAACCAACCATTCCCATCTGAGGTCCCAATCGAAAGAAGCTGCATTGCTGTTGTTTTTGTTGCTGTTGGTTTTTGCTGTTTTTTTGTTGTTGTTTTTATTTTGTTGCTGATTGTGCGCAAGAATGACAATAAAACGAAATGTATCAGACGAGTAATGCCGAGTGCTGGGGTAAAACAAACACATGGGTCGCCAGCGCTCGGAGAACGAGCGACACTTCTGTCACAAGTTCATGTTGACGTCCATTGTTTCTTTGTTAAAGACTGGGTAAACAGTGACCACTCGTCTCACATACGATTTGTGTATGAGTTCTGGGCGGGGTTTCTGGGTTATGAGGGATCACACGCTTACCTCACCAGCAGCTGAACATTGGTACCTATTGGTCAACAGTGGGAGAGGCCTATGCAACATGATCGGGTGGAGGGACTATCTGACAACAATGACAGGTGATTGGATTATGACGGCTCGCCCTCAACGCCAGGGGCCAATGCACAATTTATTACAAAACGCAATGGAGTCACTGAGGTGGACTTCTAAGACAGGTGTTATAATTTAGTGTGATATGGTTTGTGTGATAAAATATGGTGGCCGCGGCTATGTCGGACAAGTGCCAGTTTTACAAAGTTAAATTATATAGAAAAAACGCTAGGGGGGAAATGGAAAGAGGCCATTTGTACTGGTGGCCGTCTTATAGAGTTGGCCGTCAGGGCAGGTTCGACTGTACACAGACGATTGGGGACTGTCGCTGTATGTAGATTGGCCACTAAGCTGTCCAACTAAGAGCTGGCATTGTATTTATAGGCCACAGAGGGTATGGAAGTAGGAGGGGCTGACTTCTCAAGACAGTCTATCTTGTGACCTAAAGCAAAAGCAACACCAAAACTAACAACAGTCTTCGCCGGCGACAGGAGACCAGCATGTTAGATGGACAAAACAGTGCTGTCCCGGCGGTTTTATACAAAAATAATTCTGAAATTATACAAATTGAGCCAAAAAATGTGAAATTATGCTATTCTGTTAATTTTAACGAAAAATGATCATGGGACAAAAAATCAGAAATTATGCAAATAAAAGATCAAATTTTGCTAAATTATGCGGGGTGCTTATAACCACGGGGGACAGACAGT